GATTCATTAAATGACATTAAGAATTCAATAGACTCCTCAAATATCAGGTATTACTTTTTGAATATTTAATTCCTAATTACATGCTTTGTGATAGGTCTTACTGTATTTTAGAGGTGAACATTGATTATAATTAAGGGGTTTAATCTGGTAACTTCTACTTACAGGAAGGGTCCCACCTAAAAGGGGGGTTTCTTAAAGTGATTGTGAAATTAGTAGTTTTCTGTTTGAACCTCTCAGTGAAGTAACATACTAAAGAAAAAAGTTTAAAAGTGCTTAATTAATGCAGCAACAACTAGACTTTCTTGTTCTTTAGTAATTTATGACAACTAAAAACTTATTTTAGAACATTGTCAGATTTTGAAATCTCAGTGGTAGTACAAGGATTTTAAACCAGAGAACAGTACAATTTCAGTATTCTTTTAGCATGCTCTTGTCTGTAAATATCAAAAGGTGGCATATGAGACAATTAGAGGTTCTGAGCAGCTTCCATTGGCAAGATTTTAAGCCAAGAAACAGAAGAGCAGCCATATTGTGCCAGATCAAAGGCCAGTCTAGTCTTGATGGGCCATTTTTCAGCAGTTGTCATGAGCAGTTGCCTGAGGAGTCATCATAAAAATAGCAAGAATGTGGTAGCAAGAGAGTAGTGATACTTGTCTGGAGTACCCTGTAGCCTCCGGCAATTTGTGATCAGCATTTTATGCTGCTAAATTATGTCATTCAGAAAATAAATCCAAATGCTAAGTATTTTTTCATACCCTTACTACTTGTATTGCTACATAATAATGGGAGGCTGTACACGTGAATTTTTAATTTTTTTTTCCCAAAGATAGTAGGATGGCCTTTTGGTTTTAATATAGTTATTGAGAAATGTTGTTTTATAGCAATTTTCATTAGGAAAAACAAAACCAAACCTCAAACATTAGTGAAACTTCTTTATAATCAACGCTGCAAATTGCATATTGGAATTGATTCAAGTAAAGGTTGATGCACCCAGCAAAGAAAGTGATGATGTTTCCATTTCATGGCACTTATTTTGGCCATTTTAGCATCTCTTCATAATATTTTCATTTCACTAACTCTGGTCATGTTAAAACCTTACTTTAAGTGTTAAGTCAGTGACTCTTGATTTCTGGCAGCTGTGTGTGCAAGTTGTGTTTTCCCATATTTCTCTGTCAAGTTGCATTTGTATGTACTGCTCTCTGGTTCATCTGAACTTTTATGCTGGCTAGGCTCAAATCTTGGTTTTTCACTGTAGAGATATTCAGACATAACTGTTACATATGGGGTTCAGCATTTCTTACTTTCATTCTTTTTTTCTTCCCATAGCTGTTTTCAGAATAACGTTGAGATCCATGTTGCACATATTCAGAGTGGTCTGAGCCAGATGGGAAACTTGCATGCTTTTGCAGCCAATAACACCAACAGAGACTGAAAACTTCCTTCCAAGTGTACAGCAAGCAGTTCTGGAAAATCTTCTTCCTTTCTATAGGCTTCACCAAATACCCTAACTGCCAGAAGATAAGGGAAGAGAAAACCTCTCAGAAAAGACCCTTTTAAATATATTATATCTGCTTCTTAAGGAAACCAGCATTACTGGCCAGCATTACATTAGATTTCTCCATTTGTTATTCACATGCAGTAGTTTTGCTAACTGGTAATCTCTTAGTAATTGCATTGATTATAGTAAACTTGAAAGCATACTTTCATATCATTTGAACTTGGTTTTTAAAAGTTCAGATTAATTCTGCACACCTCTTGCGGTTGGATCTCCTGGTATGTTAGAAGTGCTGAAGAGGAAATGGCTCGAGTTAGTAGCCACATGGCAGGTCTTTGTTGTGTAAAGCTACACCTCTGTGCAGCTCTTCAGAGCTGCCAGGTCAGCCCTTGGGAAGCCCTGACCTAAGGAAGCAGCAGCAGGATACAGCCAGCAAACACAAGCTGTCAGCTGGAGGATGTTGGGCAGGTCTATCCATCAGTCAGTGTCTTGTTGGAACTCTTAATTTATCATAACTTATAGAAGGAATCTAATGAAGGAATATAAAAATGTAACTGTTAACTTTCCAGAAAGAGATTAGTTATGGCTTTTTCCCTGCACATGGGACAAAAGAAGTGTTTTAGGTGGTGTTTATATAAGTGACTGGTTAAACTTACTGTTTTTCCAAATTCTTTGTTTTGCACAAGTTTTAAATTAGATTGCTGGTTATTCAACAATACCCACCATATATAAATATGAGGATTTTTATAATTAAAGATAACCAGTGAGGTAAACTGCAAAAATAAGAAGTGATAGCCTGCCTATACCTTTTGGAATGTTAATCTTGTAAAAAGTGTGTATTGGTTTGTTTAAATAGTCTTGTAAAGCTTCTGTGTAATGAATTGTTTCCAGATATGGATTTTCAGAGATAGCTGTAGAGATGTTTTTGATTCTTTTAGATGCCTCATTAAATAAGGTCTTTTATATGTTAATGTATAAAGAATATGTAAACAGGATTATTTTCAATTTTAAAATTTTGTATAGTTTAAAGATGCTTCTGTATTCTGTGTTGGTATTGTGCCACTGCAAAACTTTAGTGCAGAGTTTATATTTAGCTAAATTTGTTCTGTTAATTAAGAGAAATGCATAAATCTTTTATTCTCAATGAAATTTGTAACTGAATAAATTGACCTATGAGAGTTGATATATTTCACAAAAATGCAAAATTTTTTGCAGATGGTCTCAGGTCATTTTTTTAAGAAAAGCTAATTGCTGAAAATGAAGTGTTATGAGGATGAGGTGAGTAGCTGTTTTAAAAGGTATTTAAAAAATTTACAAGGGATACTATGAAATAATGATAAACAGTAATTCAGCAGAGTTACCCAGGAAAACTTACCTCTCATAATGCAATAGAACATCCTAGTGGTCCCTGCAGTTGTTTTTGTCATTATATTACTCGTTATTTTGTGGTGTTACCATCTGTTTGATAAAGAAGACAGAGAGGAGTCCTCTCCCACCACCCTTTTCATGTAAACAGAGAAAGGTGCCAAAGCCTAATTTAAGCTACATAAGCTTAGTCAGGCAGCAAGTAATCTCTACAGCTAACTCAGGAAGAAGGAACCACCCCCTTGCACCCCTAAACTCAGGTGCCTGCTGCTCCCTCTGCTCTGATCCCGTCCTGCTGTTGGGACTCCAGCTCAGCATGTGCACTCACTGCTTCTGAGGAGCAGGACTTCCAGTAGGAAACACCACAAGGGTAATTTGGTCCTGTTGATGGCAAACATCCCAAACTGAGGGGGAGACAAGTTGTAGACACTAGTAGATACCAGAGGATTTAGGAACCTGCTTTTCATGACAACCTTTTATCCTACTGGATACAGAATACACCACAATAACCACCACTCCCCAATCTCAACTCTGATTCCTTAGGTGTGATGGTTTTTACTTGTGGATGTGCTCTCCAGCATGTTTTCTGTAGGTTTTTTTTTTAATTATTGGAGAGTGGTATATCATAGAAAGTTCTGTCATTTGTGATTAGCCATTTACTTTCACGTGTCATTTGTCCCTCTCATGTAGGCAATGTGAACATGCACATCTTTTCTTTTCTTTGAAAGGCTGCATTTCTCCTTGGGTACTGATGTGTTGGTCAGAACTAATGTTGAATTTTGTTGACAGTAACAAGTAGAAATGTTTTTGCTGAGTGTACCCCAAGCATAGCAGGAGTCTAAAGAGCTCACTGCAACCACCGTACATGAAGTCTGCAGAACAAGTTACTTTGATTTATTATAATCAGGAAACTTGAATTTACCCTGAGCCCCCAAGAAACCATGGTCTCATTTTCTGTCTCTTGCTGCAAGTGCTTCTCTCCTGGGGTTTGCCTGATCCCCAGCACAGCACCCAAGTCCACTTGGTGTCTGAGGTAGGTTAGTTGGTTTTTGGTTCATGTTTTTTTCAAGGATAACTGGGGATTTTTGATGGAGAGTACTGTCAGCAACCCTGCCATGCCACTTCACCTTGCAGTCCAACCAGAATTCAGCTGTCCCTGATCTCACAGGCACAGGTATGTTACAGGGTTGCACTGAGGGGTTTCTTGCATTGGTAACCTTATTCTGTGGGGTATGATTCCTGATACAGGGTATTTCTGCCACCAGTACATGGGTCATTTTCCCTATGTTTCTGGCATTTGGGTGCTTTTCCATAGCTTACAACTTGCTCTGCTAGGCTGAAGTACTATTTTGTAAGCAGGAAGAATTGGCCTTATGCTCAAAATACGTACAGAGTAATGTATCCTTTCTCAATAAATTGAATTAGAGGAGAGGCTTCTGTTGTTAGTGATTTTGCCATTCTCAGTGCAGAGCCATTCAGCCCACGAGTGATCATGTGGACAGCTTCTGAGCAGTCCCTGCCTACAGCTAAAGCACCCTTACAGTGTCCACAAAATACTCCCATTTCTCTTAGTTTAACATTATCCTTGGCTTAAGTGGCAGGCTGGAGGCTTTTGTCTGAGCATTTGTGATTTGGGGGTTTGTATTACTTAGGCCAGACATTTCCATTTTCATTTAGGGATGTGGGTGTTTGTTTAGGGCAGATTTAAGACAAATACTGACAGAGAAAGTTTAAGGCAGTTTTTGTAACCTGTCCTTTGGGCCTCTTAGGTCTCTTATCAACGTCTGACCTGCAGCCGTAGCTCTCCAGGACCTGGGAGGAGAACCTGCAGCTGGGATATCTACCACTTCCCTACCCCACCATCAGCCAAGGTAAGAAACCTTGCCTCCCTGCATGGGATACACACACAAGCACATCAAAAATGTAAACCTTTATTTTCTCGGTCAAAAAACCCTGACAGACCATCACTCTTTTTTAAGACCAACCCCCACCCCCAAAACACAGTAGATTTGTGTTAGCTTTTTGGCTAAAGAAGGTTAAATAGATATACTAAACATGATACAAGAAAGCTTTAAATACAGTGTAAAAAGATGCCCTCAGCTGATGGAGCCGACCCGTATCTTTCTTAAATAAATAGGTACAATCAGTTACTACCGGATAAAGTGCAACAGTGGCAGAGCAGCAGTGAGGTAGCGCGGTGTGTGACTGCTCCCCGCCCGGGCAGCGGGACGGCTCCGCCGGGAGCCTTTCACCCGTCCCGCCGCGGCGGCGCTCAGAGGGCGCGGAAGGCGCCGAGCGCGTTCTCCTCCCACTCCGAGCCCGACTCCGAGTAGCCGCTGGTGTCCTCGGCGTCCGACACGGGCGAGTACTGCCCGCAGAAGGCGCGGCCCGGCGGGAAGGGGCCGGCGGCGCTGCCCGCGAACGGGCCGGGCTCGGCCCCGCCGGGCTGCCCGGGCGGGAAGCCCTCGAAGCCGTGGCCGGAGAGAGGGCGGCGGTGAGCGCGGCGGGGCGGCCCCGGCGGCGGGCGCGGCACGGCCGGCGCCCCTCACCTGGATGCGGGACTCGGGGATCTGCGTGGCGTCGGCCAGTTTCTCCCGCAGGTAGATGTCGGGGTACATGGTGTCCTGGAACACCAGCTCCAGCGTCTCCAGCTGCGCCGCCGTGAAGCTGGTCCGCTTCCGACGCTGCGAGGCCGCCGGCGCCCCCTCGGACGGCTCGGCCGGGGGAAGCGCCCTGAGGGCGGGCGAGGCCGGGCCGGGCCCGCCGCCCCCCGGCCACCTGCCCGCGGGGAAGGCGGGCNCGGGGGGGGGGGGGGGGGGGGGGCGGCACGGCCCCGCGGGGAAGGCGAGCTCCGGGCCCCCCGCCGGGCCCGCGGCCCAGGCTGCCGGGGGTGCCCGGCTGGGGCCGCCCCTGCCTTGCTCAGCCCAGAGGAGCAGTGGTGCCCTGTGCGTGCCCGACGGGGCTGGGTGATGGCTGGCAGCCCGCGACTGCCCGCCCGAAAGGTAGACAGCAGGAGGGAGAAGGGAGAGGGCTTTGCATCCGCACGCAAAACAGCTGCGTGTTGGGAGTTGGGCACCCCCGAGAGGAGCAGAGCAGCCGCCGGGTTGTTTCTAATACAAGGTCTGGGCTGGTAGGGTTATGGAGTTCACTCCCTGCAGCTGTTGGTGCGGAGGGAGATGCTCTCGAGCAGCTGACTGCTTTGGCAAGTGATGGATCCTGCATGGTGTGAGACATAAAGCAAACAAGTTATCGGGACTGCTCCACTTGCAGTGCTTCACTGCCAGCTGTGCGGGTGGTGTACAGCTCTCTGCTGCCGCAAAAACATCTCTTTCTTTTTAAGATGCAAGTTAAATGCACCTGGAGAGCCAAGGCAGAGGCAGACATTGGTGTCATCACCTTTTCCAGCACTTGCTAATGCCTTTACACATCACACTGGCACATCCCGTGTGCTTCTGCCAAAACTCATTCTCAGATGGAGAGGTCTTGTGCTGAAATGCTGCCTGCACACCCCAACAACACCAAGGCACTTAAAATGGTTTGTCTTCATATTACTTTTTACAACTGTCTCCCAAGAAAAATTACTCTGTACAGAAAATCATGTTACAATTATTAAAAGCTGTTTTTAGAAGTTTTGTTCCTAAAACATTTGTACCTTTGTGCTTTTACGTGTGCAGCAGTCCAGGTGCTTTCATGACTGAAGTTTCTAGGTTGTTCCCAAAATCATGAGCTGTAGCCTGCAGACAGCAGTCAGACACAGGAGACTTGTATAATGTTCTCAATTAGCAGTGTAATGAGAGGGCATGGTGGTGAGAAAGGGCACAGGTGGGTGGTGATCCAGAAAGCACAGAGAGCATTATTTAAGGGTTTTAGTGGAAAAACTCCATGAATCGCTCTGCAGATTGCTTGCAGATTTACAAGATGCCACAGGTGGCAGCAAAAGAGAATTATTCCAGATTATATTTACATGATAAATGTTTTATTGTATTTCACATCAAATAATATTCTGTAAAACATGGCAGAGGTTTCTTTTCTGAAGGATTTAATCCTGCTTGGAATTATGCCATTACAAGAATATGGTTTCTAGGATTTGGTTAAGGTTGACAGAGTAGGCTTTTGAGGAAATGTGTTTTTTCACACACACACACACATGTGTTTTTCTTTCAGCAGCAGCCCAGGCTTAAGGAGCTGTTGGCACCAGGGGCCCCCCACTGTTCACCTCTGTGCTGATGCCTTCCCCTTAGCTGAGCATGTGTCAGTCCACACAGTGTGCTCAGGGAATTAACCCGGGTTAAATTAACTGTACAGTAACAACAGCTGGGGTTTGTTGGTTGGGTTTTTCAATCCAGATTTTGGATTTCTACCTATGAGTTACCAATACCCCCAGGACAGCTGTACAAGTGAGGGAACACTGCCAGATCATGCAGGAGGGACGTGAGGGGATCCCATCTGGGGTGCTTCTAGGACTGCCCCACCTGGATCTGATTCTGAGCTAGCAGAGAACAAAACTGAGACAGACTGCCCAGGAGCATGGTGGTTTTCAGTGTCAGACTTCCCATTAAGACAAGTGTCAATGTATATTGAACAGATACTCAGGAAAGAGTGAGTACTGGGAGCTAATAGACCTGTTCCCAACTCATAAATCTGGAAATGGGCTGACTCTTTGATCTCTCACTGCTGTGACATCCTTCAGACCAAAAGCCTCCTCGGTTCCCTTGCCCTTTATGGTTCCAGAGATGTTCCAACAACAGATGTTCCAGCAGCTGACACGCTTCCCTTGGTGAGGAAAAGACTGGTGAGCCTTCCCAGGCCTGAAAACTTTTCATTGGGAGACACAGATGTAACAATTACAGACTTTTAAAAAGTCTACATTGTTACAATGAAAGCAAAACAACTTCCACACCCTACATTTTGTGGCATTCCATGTCGTCCATGGATGCAGTGTGACCCATGGCTATGTCCTGTGGAATAGCAAACCCTGTGTGAGTGAATTGTGGGCAAAACCCTTGGTGCAGCCCAGGATTGCACACACAGACCCCTGGCTGTGGGGTTCCCACTCAGACTCTTCATTTCCTGGCTGCAGACAATTGTATTTTCTGGCAGACATACCTGTGAATGATGAGACTGTCTGCAGGTGCTGACTTCTGTTTACTCCTAGTCTGCCTCAGTTTCCCTGTCTGGGCTGGCTGGCTGTTTCCAGCATGTTCATACATCGTGGTTATGAGTTCTTTTCTGCTTACCAGTGGTATGTTCTTTTGCAACAGCAAAGCAATTCTGGAGCAAGACCAGAGCCCAGGAATAATATTTTCCCTTTCCTATTGTTCAGAGCATCCCACACAAATTTTGTCCATGGGATCCTTGTGGTCATCCTTCTGTATTGGCTTGGTTTGAAACAGATCTAAGATTGAATAAAAGCAAGGGGGACAGTGCTGATTGTAAAGGAGTGTGCTGTTAGGTGGACATTAGAATAGGAGGCTTCTGCCACCTCCCAGCCAAGCAGGATGACATCAAAGACAGCTCCTTGCTTCCTTCTGGCAGTTCTGTCCCCTCCCAATGCTGGCATACTTCTCCATGGCTCCCACAAAGAATCACCCACTGATGTCCTAAAACCTGTGCCTGTGGGGTAGTGCAGTGTGCCTTCTGCAGCAAGGAAAAAGTGCTGTGTCTGGATTCAGTGCAGTTTCCTTTCCCTGACAAGTAGTTTTCCATGCTGCTGTGCCCCTTGTAGTCTGACAAAGAAGTTTCTGATGCCTTGTAGGTGCCAACATCTGCATGGACTCATACCCAGGTAAGGGCTGGAAGCATTTAGAAGACATTCAGCTTTGTCCCTTCCTGTTTTGCAGACTTGTTTTTATTTGTGTCCCACTGAGGCAAAAAAGGGGATTTTATGTCTTCCCTCAAGAAGCAGAAGCTGTGACAGAAGTCCAGAAGTGGCTTGCTTTTTGAAATTAAGATGGCAGAAACTGAGAGAGCTATCTCTAAGGGAAAAGCAGACTGCCTCGTGTTGATGTGAAAAATTACAGGCTGCTTCAGAAGCTGTTTACATTGATCTTAACTCTATTTGTCAGGAGAAACTTCTTGTGCTTTTGTCTGTGCTGGGAGTGCCTCAGCACTGAAGCGTCTGTGCCAAGAGGAACTCACAATACAAAATGTGCCTGTACCTGCAATAAAACAGCTTTAAGCTTCAACTGGAGAACATCACTGCTGCCCGCTCTGAGCATCCAGCAAGGGTAAGACAGGCTGTGAAACACCAAGGTTGTGGAGAAGCAGGGGGGGATAGGCCCTGTCGTGAGTTTTCCAGCTAGGTGGCTCTTCAGCCTTTTGCATGTCAAGCTGGGGAGGTTCTCTCAGGCTCTTGGAGCTACAAAGTCATCTTTTAAATGTGCAGTTTAAGATCCTGCTTTATGTGACTTGAGGAACTGGAGCTTGGGAAACATCCCAGAATAGATGGCAAGAGTAGGCAGCAGTGTGACATGCAGTCATGGCTTTGCTGACAAGACAAACACACCCCTTTAAATAACTGACATGTCAGCAGTTCTGCTGCTCAGTCCTGGAGGGAATGGGACACCTGGGGTTTTGCCATGCAGTGATTTGTAACCAGCTGTGCAGCCTTGGCTGTGTTCAAACTCCGCTGACTTGTCAGATGTCTCGTCACCCTGTTCCTTCTAGGGCTCTGCAGGGACACAGTTTGTGCACAGTCTTCTGTCATTCCAGCAAGTTTTATTGTTTTTTTCTTTTTGGTGTCTCTTCAACATGAATTCTGTGGTCACTAAACCCGAGACTGAGGTTTTTAGAAGTGGAGATTTAGCAGTCTCTTGTCAACCTGAGTAAATTTGCAAAGATTTGGTATCTTGGAGATCTCAATTTCTACATCAGTTTGAATTGAAATTGGCCAAAAAGTTAAAATCTTATTGCAGAATCATAGAAAGGTTTGGGTTGGAAAGGACCTTAAAAATCATCTAATTCCAACCCCTCTGCCATGGGCAGGGACACCTTCCACCAGACCAGGTTGATCAGAGCCCCATCCCACCTGGCCTTGAACACTGCCAGGATGGGGCATCCAGAACTTCTCTGGGCAGCCTGGGCCAGGGCCTCACCACCCTCACAGTGAAGAATTTCTTCCTAATCCTTAATCTAAACTCTCAGTTTGAAGCCATTCACCCTTGTCCTTTCATGACATGCCTTGCAAAAAGTCCCTCTCCACATATTAGGAGACTGACCAGAAAAAAGGGACAGTGCTCACACAAACCTGATTTCATTCATTTCGAGAAAGTTTAAGAAAAAATAAAACCACATTTTTGCTGTTAAGATTTAAGTTTAAGCCATCCCTGGGTATCTTGTCCCTGAAGAAGCAATCCCTGGATAATTATCCTACAAATTAAATTAATTGTAGTCCAGACACATTTTTATGGTTGCATATATAACTACATTTGCTCCAGAGTTTCTGCTGGCAGGAAAATACCATATAATTTCCAGCTTCTCTAGCAGGACCCTGATAGCAAAAATTGTTAATGCATGCTAGGCTTAGGTTTTGAGGTTTTTTCATTCTGCCTAAGAGGAAATCTTTATATGAATACTTAATTTCCCTTTGATTGCTTCCAGTCATTGTGACAAAGCTCTTTACAACCTCGAAATGCTTTTAGAGGTTTATCTGGTCTTCCCAATGTACAGACATAAGATCCATATACTGAGGCCCATCCAGGCTTTTAGGTAGAGTTCTGAGATCTTACAATGATGTCATGTTTTTAATTTAGAGTTGTTATTTTTCTAGTCCTCACGGCTTTAACAAGGAAGAGCTTGAGCAGGGTGGGCTGTGTATAGTCCTCACTCTGGCATGGTTTGCAGAAGCCTTGAAATATATTCTTGAAAGGCCTGTGCTGCCTGTCCATTGTGGATATTCAGCTGTGTCCCTGAGAGCCCCTCCTTGCCAGAGTCCTCTACAGGGAAGAGGGGGCTTGCCTTGCTGCTCAGCCCAGGGAGGTTCAGCTCCGGGTCAGAAATGGCCCTTTTTCCATGCTCCAGGCTGTCCCAGTGGTGTCCAGGTGCCTGAGCACTGGGCAGTGAAAGGGACATGGTGCTGTCACAATGTCCTGAGTGTGACCTTGACCAAGGGGCTGGGCTGAACCCCTTTCAACAATTTTGTACTGGTACAAAAGATGTACTGGGCACATCTCCAGTGTGATGGAGCCCATGGCATTGGAGAACAGAACGATGTCACAGCCTGGCAGTAGCAGTCCCCAGCACAGGTTATTTCAGATCACCAGGCTTGCCCAGCAGCTCTGTGCACAGACAGAGGGTTAAAATAAATGCAATATGACAAGAGGTTATGTTCTGTCTGAAAGATGCCTGCCTTGCTTGGCTCAGACCTGACTACCCCTGTATATGCACAATCTGTTTTCCTTTGAGCATTCAGCTGCTGTGTCCCCTTGGTTTTGGCCATGAGGAACTAATAGCATCTTGTGACTTTAGCCCTGTGCTTAGGAGGGGGATGTGACTTGGTGGGGTGAGCCATTTCCTGCGAGGTGTGAGACACCACTTCAAGACCTGGTGGTGCCATTCGTGTATTCTGCTCCGAGGAGTTGATAAGAGCTTCAGACACACAGAGAGCCTTGAAGGAAGCCGTGGTGGAGGCAGGGAGGCGCAAAAACCCAGCAAATGCATATGAAAAGATCAAGGGGCTGTATTTGCTAAATCCCAGCAGCAACAGACTTGGGGCAAGATGCCCAGGGTCAGAGAGGACCCAGACACAGCAACAGGGCAAAAGCAGAGTATGTCTGATGGCTGGCAGCTGGCTCCCTACCATTGGAGGGAGAGGAAGATTCAGGATTTGGGAGTGGAAGGGAGATAAGAGCAAATGGTGGGGGTGGGAAGAGGGAAAGGGCAATAGGGATAGGAGGGCCTGGTTGAAAGAGCGTGGGATGTTTAGTGTTGAATTTAAATATACTTAAATCTCAGCTTAACTTTGGGTTTTGAGATACCCTGAGAGTGGCAGGGTGCATATACCTGATCCTCACTGATGCGTCTGCAGTGAGGGGACAGTCCCACTAAGTTTGCTGTGGCAGCAAACCCTAAGCTTAAACAAATCCTTGTTGCAATTTCCCTGTGTTTCTTCTCTGATTTTACACTTATATTTATGTTGTGATAGAATCTAAAGCTTTTATTTAATAGAATTTACTGTATTGCTTTGCTTACTCACATGCTCTGAACAAGGTCATTCCCAACTCTTAGAGATATTTTCCTTAATGAAGATTTGCTGAGAACTGTTGGTGCAGGTGGTTGTGTATACAAAATAACTGCATTATCCAAACTCCCAAGAATGTTCATTTAATTTGCTGTGAAAGCAAAGGATTATATTTGCAGATGAACAAAAAAAAAGAAAGAAGGAAGAAGATAAGAACGGAAGAGCTAAGGAAAAAGACAGGACAATGTTTTCCTCCTTTTCATTCAACACCTACTTAGGAGAGGCAGCCTGCCAGGGTGCAGCCAGAATACACACACAGAGTAGGGCAGGCAGGGGAATACAGGGTGATGGATAGCAAAGAGGCCACAGTCTCCTGTAACAGCACTGGATAACAGCATGAAAAACTCCAAACAGTCTCCTCTCTTCCCTTTTCAGGCTCCTTAGCCTTAGCAAGCAGTGTTAGGGCATTGTTTTCTACCTTTTCTTGGCAGGCTCTTAAACCCTTATCATTGTCCCCTGCATGTGGTAAGCTCTTCCTTCCACTCCAACATAACAAATGAGTCACAACACTCTCTGTTTCTGTCTTGCGGTGTTTAGTATCTGAGAGCATGAGCTGCTGAAATTGATGGATTTTTATGTAAATGAATGTTTGTTTGTTTTGTTTGTTTGTTACAGCTTGTGTCTCATGGTTATTGAGAAAAGGATCCATATGTGAAGCAAGTTTTGCTGCAATGGTTCAAAACCAGAAGACAATACACAGAACCAGAACTGTCCCAGTATGGTTGGATGCCTGTTACAATATGAACACAAACCCATGATCTTTCTCTGCTCTTGGTTGCCCTGGTGGCTGTTAAAATCCACCAAGTTTTCCCTCTCTGAGTGGTACTGTCTGGACAATCCTTCATCTGGCTTCCCTGTGCTTCCCTGCTGCTTCTCAGGCATGTGCCAAGGTCAGTACTCTGGCTTCAGTCTAATAATTTATTCTAAATGTTTCCCACCCTCTTTTCTGATCAGTTTTGGAGATGGGGGACTTTTAGTCTCACATATCATAACATTTACAACAAAACCATTTTGGTTTTGCTCTTGCATTTTTTTCTTGGTTCTTTAATTTCAAAGGTTTTCAAGCCTCTGTAAAGTTTGGAAGATTTTCAGGTTTGACATGGATGGAACGTGGGAAGTTTCACCTGAGCTGGGGTTTTGCAGTTGATCATTAAATCAGCAGTACCACATGATCAGAGCTGGGGAGTGCAGTGGTTACTATGCCATTTGATAAAGTCATTCTCTTCTGTGCATGAATTGACTCATATTTCTTTGCCATTTAAAGTCAAATTGAAGAGAAGTGCCACGCAACACACTCGGTAGGCATTATTTCCGTGGGTTATCCTGACTTTTGTAAGCCCACAGCACAGTTTTCTGATGCCTGACTCATAGAGAAGCTCCATGCATTTACACAGATCAGTATCTCCATCCTCCTCCCCCACTGTCCTGTCCCCCTGCCTCAGCCATCCCAGATTAATTTGTCCAACAGGGTCCTGTGTGTTGGATCACTCCTCTGCCAAAGGTGCTCTCTGAGGCATGTCCCTGCCTCCAGCCTGCACCACTGCCCCCCTGGGCTGCCCTGCTCATTCTCTCACTCCCATTTTACATGACAGCTGTTTTTCTTCCCCTTTTATTCAAGCTCAACTCCTCTGCTTTTATTTCTGGCAGTGTTATTTTTCTATTTGACTTTGGCTCTGTTTGCCAAGGCCGCACCCTTGTCACCTCCTTATTCTGATCCTCTCCTTTGTTTACTAAAGGTCTTCCTCTCCTTTTTATTGGTACTTTTATCTCTTTCTCCATTATCTTTTAGTCCCCTTGATTCTTACCCCTTTCTTTTGCATATGACCAAGCTTGTTTTACATGTTACTTGGGGGATTTAAGATTTTTCTCCATGACAGCTTTTCTTCCCTGCCCCTGGAAGGCTCTCTGTGCTGCGGGACACATGGCAAAGAGCAAATGCATTTATTACTGCAGATGGGACAGCTGCAATCCAGGATGGAGAGTGACTCCAGGCTGGGGTGATCTCAGCAGATCTCCACTGCCATCTTAGCCATCCCCCACATCTTTACAAGACCACGTTTTTCCTCTTTTGCAGTCAGATCTTTGCAGCTGGGACACCTCTTACCTAAGGTATTTGAGGTAAGAGGAGGTTTAAAGGAATGCTGAGGGTTTGCTGCATCTGAGTGATCAAAAAAGAGTGCAGCAGCATCATAGTGTAGGTTTCTATTTGCAGTTCCACTGCTCCTAGCCTCCTTTGTCACTCACTGACAATGCCTGAAATATGGCTGTAGACAAAATATTTATGACAGTGGCTGGAAATTGCAAAGCTGGGCAGGATATCACATCTATCACAGCATCACCTGGGTGTTTTACATCGTGTGTGTCTTGGTCAGTGCCACCATAGCAGTGTTCATGGTTTTCTGGCATTTCAAAAACATTGTATTTCTCTCAAATTTTACCAGGATAAGGGCAGAAGTGAGAAGATAATGAGTTTCCTTTGATTAATCTCACTTGGTAAAGCTCTCCTTCCTCTGTGTTTTGTATTTTTATCAACTACTGCAGCAAGAGTCCTGGCCATACAAAGCAGTCCAGGACAAACAGGGAACCTTCTGCCACTAAAAATCCTAACAGACCAAGGACTGATCCTATCTGCCCACTGAGCTTGATTTTGCACCTCTTCAGCCAAATGGTGATCTTTCCTCTGGCTGCATGGAGCAGACTCCTGCTTTAGGGACCAGAATAATTCCTAAGAAGCCACACAGGTGTCCAACCAAGCAACGCCCCCCTGCATGTTGCACTCTTTCCTCATCTACTCGACCTGACATCCTTTATTCCAAACAGGTCTTTGCATTTCAGATTTCCAAAGCAGCTAGCTGCCATTAACAGTGTATGACCAAGTCTGGGCTGTCCAAGCACACCCATCAAATGCCACTGTAACTTGCCTGTGACCCCATGCATGGCACACTGGCCAAGACACACAGGGCTGTTCCTAGAAGATGCCAGTTCCAGAGCTGCATTGGTGCCTGCTTCCTGCTCTCCAGTGCAGCTTCACCAGTTTCCTTTGTCTAACCAAAGTGCAAAAGCTGTTCTCAGGTGGGAATTTTACTTAGGACTATGTAAAATGTGTAGGCACAAAGCACTGCAAAAGACCAGGTCACTCATTCCAGGTCTGAGTGAATTCTTTCCCTGTCCACACTTCCCAGGGTCACCTCTCAAACTCTGGCCTGTGTTTTCAGCAGCTGGAGAAACCATCGACCACATCACACAAAAGTAAAGACTTATTCACTTTTTATTTTTTTCCACAACAAAAGGAGAGCCACTCCCGTGAAATCCTCTCCAGATCTGTGGGTCCAGGTTGCTGGTTTTCTCCATGTAGGCATGTAAAAATCATGAATTGTGAAAAAAGGGGTGATGAAGTGCTCTTTGGAGTGCTTGCAGAATAGCCATAGTTTAGATAATGGCTTTTTTTTTCTTCTCTGGGTAGAGTTTGAGCCATCTGGGACTCGATCATTGAACATTGATATGAACAAGGAGAGGAGTATAACATAAAGAGGACAGCAACAACCCCGAGGCTGGAGATTTGTGTGGTTGCTGGTGTCATATGCCGAAGCAGAAATTTGTCTGACATTTTGGGAAGGGAAGGCAGTGCTGGTCAGTCCTGGCTGCTGTGCTGGGGACGTGCTGATTCATTTGGCTCCGAGGAGAATGCCCTTTGCAGCAGAGAGGAGGCTCGTGTCTGTGCAGTGCTCAGGAGGAATTGTGCCATCACACCCCACAAACAGTGAACAGTGTCGAGTTGTGAAAGGGCTTGTGCCAGTAAGTCTCACCTGTGATGTTTTTGGCAGGCCATTGAACCAACAGCCAGGGAAGGCTCACAGACTGGTGATGCACTGTCTCCTCACATTTTGCAGTCTTTGCTGGTGGAGGTTGGCTAGATATCCCTGGCTTGGCCCCTTAAAGGGACTTCTTGCCAGGACAGTGGGTCCCTGTAAGATGAAACAGAAGTCAGGCAAAGAGTAAGATATTGATATTTCCCCACGAGGTCATGTAGGATCCCAGAAGAAACCATACCTGAAAACCAAAGAGCCCTCAGTCACAGACTCAGAGAGGAGGTGCAGTGCATGTAAAGCTGTGAAAGTACCCCAGGCCCAGGCCATTCACATGGAGTATGTCCAGCTCTAGACTAGTATAGATACTCAGACACACACAAGGGCAGTGTGGATTTAGACATTTTGGGGGCTAGACTTGAGTCCTGGATAAGCCTCAGCTTTATTTCAACTAACTCAGCTTTGTTATTTTTTAATAGTGAATACTGTGCAGAGCTCTCTCCCAAGAGCTCTGGAAGCTGCCAATCCAGTTCAGAAAGGGGGCTGGGTGTGTGGTGCTCCTCTCCAATGATTTTTACTGCACAGTAGCTTTTAGCCAGGTTCCAGCAGCATCCTGGTGGCACCAGTGATAACAGGGTAAAACTATTTGGCCTCTTTTGGTTTGGACAGTCATCCATGAGGCACTAAGAGAGCTACCTACAGTGAGCTATTGCAGCTGTTGGTCACTGCTGACCTGGGCCACATTTGATTGCTGATCCTGAGAGGAGAGGTTTCATTCTGTCATTCTTCTCCAGAGGTTTCTGCTCTTCCTGGAAAAAATATTCAAGGGCATTTCTAATGGATGCAGAAAAAACAAGCAAACACATCCCCAGGCTTTTACTCCTGTGCTGGTATTGCATTGCTTCTTCTGACCCTGTCTCCTCCCAGCACTGCCTAGATTTCAGGTTGCATAGGCTGGATGGAATATATTTTAGAACAAGACTCTATTTAGCCGTGATGTCAACTGCAGCCAACTATAAAAAGCTCAGTAATGCTCTTTGAAAGTGTAACAGCTGCTGCTCTACACAGTCCCTGGTGTATTACAAGTCCGCCCTACTTCATGTTCACACAACCAAAATAAAATACAATAGCAATCATTAAATAGTTCAAGGAATTTGGGACATAATCTCCCCAGAAACCAGGAGGAATTCAAGGTTAGACAAACTGAGTAATTTTGCACAGTTTGTTAACAGAAAGGTAATTTCACCTGGATTTGCAAAATTGACTTTTACCTCCCATTGACTATGTGCTATCAATGATCCCTACACAGTGACAACAGAGCAGCAAACCTTCCTTTGGGCAGCTCTGCTGGGTCTTGTTCACACACAAACTGAGCTCTTGTATGGGGTAAGTCCATCAATATGTTACCCAAAATATAAAACTCATTTTCATCCTTAACAGGATTTGGTCATATATATTTAAAAAAACACTGATCAGGCCAAAATTTCCCATAAAAGCAGGAAAGGAAACAGTTGAATGAAATGTTATTTATTAATCTAGAAGAACAGACAGAAGTGAATGACTGTGGAGTTGTGCTAGCACTGCATACCCTCACAGTACTAGAGAGGTGGTTTTGGCTGGGTCTTTGTTAAGGACAGCTTTGAAATGCTGGATGTTGTAGTAGTAAAGTCTTTAAAGTTTTTTGGGGTTTTTTTTGGGGGGTTGGGGGTTTTTTTTGCGTGTTTGTTGTTGTTGTTGTTTTTGTTTTGGGGTTTTTTTCCAAAAATATGAGCAATAAACATTCAGGAGTGATCCCTGCATTTCACTCTGTGGACTTGCTTCTATTGAGGACTTGGAAAAATCTTCCAGGCATATGTCTGCTTGACTAGAAAATGGGAAGGGTTGAGCAACCTGCCCACAATGATGTGAGAGTCAGTGATGGCAGAGCAAGAAGGTGAGCCTGGCTGTGCTTTCCCCCTTCCCCAGAGCTGCTGGCCTGCCATCTGGTGAGCTGACATCACCAGTGGCACATGCAATTCCACTTTCTGAACCCAACTGAGACAGCTCAAACATATGAGTCCAGGAAGCAACAGCTACATAAAAAA